CTATTCTGTAATCTGAGATGTTCCTGAAGCTGCTATGAAAGCAAACCAGAAAAGTGTACCTCACCTTCATCTCAGATAGTCCTAAAACCACTGCCTACAATATCTACTACTGCTGAGACAGTGGAAAATGATCTCTGATGTGGCTTTTATTCTTATTATTGATTTGCCTAGAGTTGCTGAAACACTGCAAGCAGCTGAAAGGTAAAATGTAGCAGTTGGAAATGTAAGAAACATGAGTACATGAAATATGAAACCTATATAAGCAGCCAGAAGAAATGGATGGGATATTACTTACTAATACTCTCTTTAGTACTTAGTTTTATTTTGATATTTTGCATGTACATTGTTACAAAAATGTGCCCAAGAAAATCCTCACTTTTTTAAAATGTCGTATTTATAATTCCTAGTAAGAGCAAGCTGTTCTACATTTATTACAGAGTGTACATTTTGTAATATTACAGGTCTACTGCTTTTTTTTAACTACTCTTTCAAATCAGTATTTACTTTACTTTCTGGTTCCTTTCATCTCTGTTTTTGGTGGCCATGACAACAGAATTAAAATGTGCAATGAATGGGTAAAGCATTATAAAAAAAAGTACTTTAAGGTACAGTGATATTTGACAGGGCTGGACTATTATCAGTCTCTGAATTCCCTGGCTTCATCCATAGCAAGAAACGGCTATTATTAACAGCTTTTGTTAGATTGGGACTTTGTAGTTCTGGAAACGTTGTGTTAACATAGACAAGACAAACCTTTTCCATTGCCGTTACAGAACTTTTTTTGTGGTACGGAGGAAAGAACAAAAGAGAGTGATATTCCTGGATCACAGGGAGGAATCAAATCTGGTATCCAAAATAGATTTAGTTTCATCTGCATCAGCTTTTACTTGATTCTTAGTATCAGTTCAAAGGTACCTGCGGGCAACCAGTAACAGCTAATACCTAGTACACAAATAGCATCTGCACAAGTGGTGTATAATTTCATCATTGTTTGTAATAAGTTAGCTGAACAAAAAGTGGTTGAAAAATGTGACAAGTTCTTGACAGCAGGGCTAGTTCTGGGTATGAGCCTTTGGGTTTCTTTAGGAGAATGGAGGATTCTTTCGCCTTGTTCTGTCAGTGTTAAAGGATTTGGTTTCTGTTCAGTGAAGTCTTCCTAGTACTTTTGCAAGATTTAAAGGGCAAAATCTTAAAATGGCAATGTAAAGTCTGCTTAATTTTGTTGTAATAGTGAAAAGTAGCTTTTAATTATTGTGCTGTAGTGATAAGTAGTATCCACACAGGTCTATGATCTTTCCAGAAATGCAACTTTCCTAGTAGTAGTTTACTGCATTTCATTTACTTACTGGTCTTCTGTAATTTCTGTTCTGTGCACTATCAACTAGCATTGTGAAGGCTCGCAGATGTTGTTTACCTTACTTTTAAAATGTGAAATGAACGGTCAACTCAGCCAAATCTTAGTATTGGGTTCTTTGTTGGGGGGAAGGAGTTGTTTTGGGTTGGTTCTTGGGTTTTTTTGTTGTTCTTCTTCTGTATCAGTGAAAGAATTAATAGAACAAGCTTTTATTATACTGGTAAATTTAATTTGTACCATTGTCAAATAAAATACATAAAACAGACTTGCAAGGTATTTATTTTCAGGTTATTGACCAAGTTTTTCAGTGTTAGATGTTTGCATACAGATGAGCAGCACCAAGATTTCAGTTTTGAAAAAATGTGTACTTGTTGGCACATACATTCACTTAATTTAGGTAAGGCCCACTCATGATGAAAAAAAGCCATCGAAAAACACAAGCTTAAGCAGTTAGGCTTAGATAGCAAAGAAAATTCAAAGTTAAGACTTCAGCTCTAGCCATAATTCATTGTGCTTAGGAACCAAGAGAATTTTGTTTGTTTATTTTTTAAATATTTTTTGATGGTTATAAAAGTGCCTTAAGATTCTCTAATGAAATATATTACTGAGAATTTATATTTTTAACAAAATAATACGCATATGATGATTTCTTCTAAGAGATTATCTAGATGTCATTTGGAAATATTCTGGAGTCTGAACAGATTCAGCACCACCTCTGTTCTGTAGAAATTAATGTTCATGCAACACAGGATTTTAAAAATGGTATCTAAAAGATATATTTAAAAAAATCCTTGTTGAAAAAATCAGGATATAGTTTTAAAATGATGGAACAGGACTACAAGAAAATTGCCTCTGTACCGACAGTTAAAAAAAATGCCACAAGATGTCACTGCAGCCTTGGTATTTGATATCAAATGTTAAAAATAGTAATTGGAATTGATTATAATAAAATTGTATGAGGTGAAAACATTCTTAAAGCTAGCATTTTACAAGGTGAAATTCATTAGATAGTTGTACTAAAAGCTATGAAACAGTACTGGAACTGAAAAATCATGGAGGTTATTTTGTACGTATTTTTACAGGGAAGAAGAAAAAGATTATTTTAACTATTTTCTGTGCTTAGAAAGGCTCTAGCTAAGTGCCATAAATGAGAACTTGCATGCAACCAAAACAGTATTTGTAATTTTGCAACATTTGACATTTGACAGTGGGGCTTCAGTTTCTAGTCATGTTTGCTTCCTAGATTCACCAGCCTAGCCAGATGGATTTACAAATAATAGGCTTTAACACAAACTATGTACCTAGGGATTCTAGATACTGGATAGCTAGCCTGTTACACTGCTCTATCTTTGCTTCTGTTGCCCAAGATACCTTAGTTAAAGCTAATTTGAGTATGCTTACACAAACTCCCCTCAAGTAGAGCGCAGCACAGACTTAGAAATGTATGTAACATTGAACTGTAGCAAAAGGTTGAGTAAAAAAGGGTGTTAAAAACCTATGGTTTGGGGAAAATACATCAATATCTCTTTTCTTACACGGGACATGTTACCCCTTCGAGAATTGCTTGTAAATAAAAAATGAAATATTTGATTTAATTAAGGGTTAAGTACAAGTGAAAGTCATATAGAACAATATAGGAAAAGATAAACACATTGATTTCCATGAAAAGCAAGTACCCTCCAATAACCTTTATTTAATTTGCTGTTACAGAAGACTACAGTCTCAGTCTTGCAAGCATCTGGTATGGGATAGTACTTACTACTGAGAATGAGGTTTCTTACATAAGTTCACAGGACCGGCCCAGAGAGAGTCATATTTAGGAATATTAGTTCTGGCGCTATGAGAAAAGAAGGAAAAAAGAGGAATGTAGGAACACATGTACAAATTATTAGAACCAATACCAAAAATAAATAAGCAACTACGAAACAATTACACGAGAGACGTATTTTCTGTAGTACTTCAGCACGTTTGTAAGGCTTTAAAGGTTATCCAGTGCTTACGACACGAGATTAGAAATTGAAGAGTCAGAAGTGTTTCACACTCATGTTTAGCCTCACCTGCAGACACACTAGAATTAATTATATGAACTGTTAGTTACAGTAGGTTATTCATAGCGCTAAGAAAACGTGGTGATGATGATGTGGACCTCAGGGCTGCATATTGCTTTGTATTACAATGTCTGTTTAAGGTGTTTCAAGGGTGGATTTTTGTTTTGGGGAAGAATAGCATCCTTTTTTTTCCCCCTCAAGGTACCTCTCCCTTGCAACCTTTTGCTTTTTTAGTTGTAAAAATGAGATGGGCCGTCTGCTCTGTTTGGCACTTACTGATTCTTTCTAAAGGGAGCGTGGCAGAAGAAAGGCACTTCTAACACTTTTAATGCTTCTGTTTCTTTGGCAGTAAGTTAATTGCAGACTACAAGCCAATTCAGCTTTTGCAAATGAACCACCAGAAAGTCAGCCTTTCACTTCTTTAAAACATCAAGTTGCAAGTAATTTTGTGCAGTTTTACGACAGCCTTAGAAGCACAGGTGAAACTCCCCACCGCTGGATGACTTCTCGGGAAGAGGGAGGGCCCGTGGCTCGCACCAGCGCGCTACCAGAGCTGCATGCGACGGGCTGCGTCTCCTCTCTTTCTGTTCGCAAGCGGCTTCCCCGAGATCGTGCCCCCCCTCGGCTCTCCCAGCAGACGACGCTGCCCGGCAGGCCCAACTCCTCGCCTGAGAGAAGGAGGGAGGGAGGGACCGGCGGGTGACAGAGTCGCCG